GATCAAGTTAGGAGGAGGAAAGATGGCGGAAGAGCCGCTAGGGGACCCGGAAGCACTTACCCTCCACTTCCTCCCGCTTGCCTTCTGCCTCACCTAGAGCCGTCCGGTCGCAGACTGTTTCTGAGACGCTTCCTGTCCGGTGAGTGCCGACCGACTGAAACGGCGGCCCACAATGCACAGCGATAGCGTGTCGGCGGGAGGGGGCGGAGCCAAGGCCGGAAGTAGGACGGTGGCGGCGGCGGCGGCTCTGGCAGCTCGGGACTAAGTACAAGGTGACTGGGAGGGTATCTGGCCTGGCTGGGCCTCTTGGGACTCCGATGCTGAGTTTTTCTCCGGGGACTGGGCTGCCTATGGCCTTTGCCCTGCATGAGAGAGCAGCTTATTGGGCCCGGGGACCTTCACGGCCGGCCCCGAGGTCATGCACACGCCGGAGCCTTTCGGCCTTGGAGTTTGCCAAGTGGGCTCCATGGATCGCCCGGATGATAATGCCCGCTCCGAGGCTAGGCCGGGGTGGTGCGGGCTGCAGGACCGCGGGGGGTTCCCGGCTGGGGCAGCCCAAGGTCATGCTCGCGGGGCAGGTCTTCGGCCAGGCCTGCCCAAGCTGGGCTCGCGGGAGGTTGTTCTGAACTGTTTAGAGCAGATCATGGTGACACCCATGTTAAAGGTTTGCAGCCCACCTAGAAGTATAAGTGGTGCTAAAACTGTGTTAGGCGGCCGTGTTTACGCCCTTCCTGCACAGTCCGACACCTCAGCCACCGAGGACAGGACGCTGCCGGGATGGGGGCGGGGGGGGGGGGCTGGTGCTTGAACCCGGGTACAGGCCAGAGTGCGCGCGTGAACACCGCGAGGTTTCCCGGAGGGAAGAGGCGGTCCCGTCGGGCGGATTGCGAGTTGACTTTGAGAATCAGCTTTGAGGGGCCCTGGCCGGGCAGCCCGGTTGGTCAGAGCGTCTTCCCCACACACCAGGGTTGAAGGTCAAGGCACGTACCGAAGCCAACCAATGCATGCGCAAATAGGTGGAACAACGAAGGCGATGTTTCTCCCTCTCCCGTTATCCCTCTGCCATCAACAGATAAAAAAGAAAAAGCATCTATCTGTGAAGGATATATATGCTTGAAGAGGCAGCGGAAGGACCGCCCTCTGGCTGGTCGGCATCCCAGTCCACAGGAGAGCCTTGCTCCTTCTGCAAGTGCTGGTCCCTTTCCTGCTGCCCCCCCACCCCCACCCCCCGGGCTTTTCCTGACTGTGTCCTAGCCTCCCGCGGCCCCGCCTGGCACTCCTGTAGAAAACATCACGGCTGATACTTTACACCTGCTTGTGTCATAGCTCGTGCCTCCTGCGGGCCGGTGGACAGTCCACCCTCACTGTGTATTTAAACACAGATGAGATTATGTGTCCATTTTTTTTGGACAAGATGAATTTGAGGGCCCTAAAGGACTTATGAAGGGACGTGAGCTGTTGAATGTACGGAGTTCGGGGAAAAACAAACTTAGAGACGTGATTTCGGAATCATCAGTACTCAGGAATGGAAGGGGGGGGGGATGGATTTCAGCCCTAACCGGTGTGGGTCAGTGGATAGAGCGTCGGCCTGCAGACTGAAGGGTCCCAGGTTTGATTCTGGTCAAGGGCATGTAGCTTGGTTGCGGGCACCTCCCCAATAGGGGGTGTGCAGGAGGCAGCTGAAACTGTGGGAATATGAGCAATTTAATAGCCTTCTTAGACATAGTTTTATTACCTGTAAAGCAGAGATAAGAACACCTTGTAATGTTTAACAGGAGTGTCCCACGGGTGCAAGGAGAGAATGTATATGGGACTACTTTTCGAAATACCTAGGGCTGAACAAACATTAGATAACCTTATTGCTGAGTGTTAAACATGAATAAGCTGCCAGAAAGGAATATGAATATATATATATATATATATTGATTTGCCCGATTTTTATTTTTTTAATATATTTTATTGATTTTTTACAGAGAGAAAGGGAGAGGGATAGAGAGTAAGAAACATCGATGAGAGAGAAACATCAATCAGCTGCCTCCTGCACCCCCTACTGAGGATGTGCCCTCAACCAAGGTACATGCCCTTGACCGGAATTGTACCTGGGACCTTTCAGTCCACAGGTCGACACTCTATCCACTGAGCCAAACCGGTTAGGGCGAATTGCACAATTTCTAAAATATGCTTGTGTCTAGTAAGAATCTACTGTGTAATCTTAGACCAGGTACTTGCCTCTAAACCTCGGTTTCTGTGTGTGTAAAATGGGATTCGAAATATGTAGCAGCTTAAGGTCATTTGTTTGCTTGAAGTCTTTTCCCAAGTATTTTTCGCTGATGGGATATAAGAGTGGTATATGATGGATTCTTTAATTCCTTCATATAGTTTGCTTTCACCCTGGCAGGTGAAGGGTATTTTGTTGATTGTATAATTTCTTTTGCTAATTTTCATGCGCTCTTCCAGGGCTTCTCAACCTTGGCACTATTGACATTGTGGACCAGATAAGTCTTTGTTGTGGGAAGTTCATTATTGTTATGGGATGTTTGGCAGCATCCCTGGCCTTTACCCACTAGAAGCCAGTAACACTCACCCTTCTACGGACAGCCAAAAATGTCTTTAGACATTGCCAAATATCTCCTAGAGTGTACCCCCACTCCTATTCGAGAACTGTGCTACTCTACTGTCCTTTAGCTTAGTGCTTCTCTAACTCTCTGTGGTAAAAGGCTTTCTACCTCCCCCCAACGTTTGTGGATATTTTTGAAGAATACAATAAAAATGAATTATTAGAAAAATTATATGAAAGACAAAATGAAGACACACAAAATACAAACTCTAATATTTTGTTAAGTTCAGCAGACATCCTTTCTATATAATAAAAGCCTGATATGCTAAGTGTCCTGTCAGTCGTTCAACCAATCAAAGCATAATATGCTAATGAGATGCTAAGGCTGCTCACTATGATGTGCACTGACCACCAGGGGGCAGGCGCTCGGACTGGTAGATTACCTTGCTGCTGGGGTCCAGATGATTGTGACTGAGCAAGACGGATGAGACACACCCTGGTCCCTCCCTGGCCCCAATCGTGCACCAGGCCAAGGGACCCCACAGGTGCATGAATCCATGCACCAGGCCTCTACTATGTTGATATACCAAATTGCTTAGAAGTTTCTAAATGCTTACTGACCACCAGGGGGCAGGCGCTCCGACCGGTACATTACCTTGCTGCTGGGGTCCATTTCCAAATTTTGTATTGCTATAGACCAGTGACACAATCTGTATGCTGCCACTGGTCTACAGACCATACTTTGAGCAGTAGTAATATAACTTAATAGGGTCCAGTATCAGTATGATGATTATTATTAGTTAATTTGTGGGGATGGAGGGATCATGTTAGCGTTAACTTGTCAGGTTTTCACTTCATCTTTAAGGTTCAGAAACTGTACCAGGCTATAATGAGTTGTGACTCTTTTGTCATCATTCTAATAAGAGTTTGGTAAGCCCTTTACTAGACTCAGTCTTTTTTAATTTAAGGGAAGAGGGAAGTTTTTTCTACTTATTTATGGTCTCCTTATCTATTCCTTTTCTTCTGGAATTCCTGTTTGCATATATTTGTTGTTATTTGGATTTTTTGCATTTGGTCTTTCAAGACACTAAATGAGATCTCAACTGAGATCAATTTATCTCCTGAAATTTTTAGTTAGAAAAGCATGTCCTTTAGCTCTAAGGATTTGGCAATCCTTACTTTTAAAATTCAGAATTTCATCTCCTTCACATATTCTAAGTCACTGATTAGGTTGTACCACATGAGTTCCCCTCTTTTGTTGGTGTGTTTCCTTGGCCTGGTTGCTATTTCCCCTTGCTGGTTATGTTGGACTTAGATTTGCAGTTGTGACAGACAGGCTCCCTCTGTGCGTCTTCCAAGTAGAAACTTCCAGGCTATCAGAATCCTCGCACATTCTTTTGGACGTCAGGATTGTTCTTTTCCTCTGGGGGTGGGTAGCTTTCCAACATCCTATTTTGGCTATTTTCCCTGATCCAAGACTAAGTTCACAGAGAGGAAACACCCCATCCCATATTCTGTGCTTTCTTTCTGCATGTAACCCTAGTGGAGCCACACAGAGGCCTGAGTTCCTGACTGCTCCTGGGACCCAGGTCTTCGGGTTATGAAGTAAAAACTTGCAGTGGGCAGTGGAGAAGGGAATGGAGTTGGGATCGGGTGACTGTTCTCAGCATTCACTGAGTTCTGGTATGCTTTAAGTCCTGTACAATTAAGAGAAGTAGAGGTATTTTACAATTAAATGTACATTAAAATATATTAACATTGTGTTGCCTTTCCCCCCCAGTAACAGTCACCATGATTCTTCAGAGGCTCTTCAGGTTCTCTTCTGTCATCCGGTCTGCAGTCTCCGTCCATTTGCGGAGGAATATCGGAGTTACAGCAGTGGCATTTAATAAGGAACTTGATCCTTTACAGAAACTCTTCGTGGACAAGATTAGAGAATACAAAACTAAGCGACAGTAAGTGGGTGGATAATCGACCATTGTGTAAATATAAGTAAAGTATGTAAGTTTTGAGGTGGTAATAAAATTACTTGGTGTTTGAAAGTGTCTAAGACCTTTACTGAGCTGATCCCTTGCATAGAGGTTCATTATCTCTTGATTATTTTAAGTCCTGAATTTTACCTTTTTTTATATGTGTTTCCAGGAAGAGTTCCATTAAATCTTTTGTTATTGTGGATATATCCTTATATCTAAAGGATATATCATCATTCTACCTTAAAAAAAAAAAAGTGAAGTCCTAACCGGTTTTAGATAGAGCGTCAACCTGCAGACCGAAGGGTCCCAGGTTCGATACTGGTCAAGGGCATGTACCTTGGTTGCGGGCACATCCCCAGTAGAAGGTGTGCAGGAGGCAGCTGATCGATGTTTCTCTCTCATCGATTTTTCTAACTCTCTATCCTTCTCCCTTCCTCCCTATAAAAAATCAATAAAATATAAAGGCCTTGATTATAGACTGGACAATTAAAATATTATATGAAAAGCATATATGAGAAATACTTTTGAGTAGGATGGTAGGTAGAACAATATTGCTCTGTATTAGGATGAAAATTTTGATCACAGTGTGCTAGGAAATTTGGTATGAAAAAAGAGG